TAAAACGATCTGAAATGTTTAATTAATCGAATCTCAAAGGCAGATCATTTTTTTTTGGATCTACCATAAGCGTGAAATAACAAAAGGTTCAATTGCATATGTTTACTATTGTAATAGTCGAGAAGAGTTAAAAAGTAAAAAGCCTCAAGTTGATAATATTTCAAATCAACGTGATACAGTAGCAAGAATTCATCGTTATGATTGTGGGGGTACAATACGAATAAATATTGATCAAAAAAACAACTTAATTGTTGTTAATATTTATTATTATCTTCATTTACCACTCGAGACAATAGAAACCACACCACAACTACCTAATTATTTACTTTTTCCATATAATGCGAAATAACACACAGAGGCGTTATTTTGAATTTGGCCTAAATTAAGCTTAATTTAGGCCAAAGATTGAAATTACACCATTGCGCATTATTTCATGGTTATACAGTAATTCACATTACTATTACTGACTGTAATCTAATACTAATACTAATAAAGCAAGTCTGATTAAATTTGTAGATCATTTGGAATGAATTCATGATCAGGTGATAGTAACTAATGTTTAATATCTAATGTTCTCAAGAACATTTAAAAAAAAATTGGGAACAATAGATTTAAAAATTATGTTTCTTTTAGAACAAACTGAGGACATAAAATTTATAATTTATATTTCTATAGAAAATTAAAGTATATATAATTTTGACCAGGAAGTATAATACTGGGCGGGATTAAGAAATAGGAATGTGAAAAAAATGGATGAACATAAAAGATGAGAAGGGCCAGGGCAAATTTGAGCAAATATCTGATATTTCTGAAAGAAAGAAAAGAGAAATTTTATTAAGAATATTAAAAAATTTTAGAAGCATAAATTTTTTAAATTTATGTTCTCAGGGAGCAAAAAAATTCTTCACATATTTTTCACTGATAGTGACCCAATAATCACTATATTTAATTGCATAAATTTTGTATGCAGCCATTATATTTTGGCTGGATTATGAGATTTAAAAAACCGGGGTTAAATTGCCATCCAAAAAAGTTTCAGATCATGTGATTAAATTTCAAATTTATTTTTACGAATTGTACAATACATGTATTTTTGAAGCTAGCATATAGTAATTTATTGTTTTATTCATAGTTTAAGCGATATGGTTAAAAAAAGTTTTTTTTCTTTGTTTCTAATTTAATATTATTGCAACCAAAATATATTATGATTACAATTCTTCCAAGTATTTGGAATTTGTCTTTGTCATTTAAACCTATTACAGTCTTCAACAAATTTGTGTATTGGCTCAAAGTTTTTATCAATACTATCAAGCCACTTATTTCCATTCAGGTTTTTTCATTTTCTTCAAATATCCTTTTTGCTGAATCGAATAATTCAAAAATTTCATATTTGCATTTTTTAAATAAAATTAGATCTTGGTCTTCATTGCTATCATAGATTTCAACTATATTCTCTTCATTCAAATTGATAATTTCTTCTTCTTGAACATAATTTATTAAAGATTCTTGAGAATTATTGTTTCTGTTATAAACAATTAATTCACGGATTTCAGGGTTGAGATTTTCAATTGTAGTATGTATATTTTCTGGTAAATTTGAATAAGCATTTTCTTCTTTAACTTTTAAAAAAGGATAAGATTCTTGTTGGATAAACTTAGTTAAATAAATTCATATTAATAACAATAATGATAATATAACAAATAAAAGTAAATAGACTTTACCTTTTTAAAAAAACCAGGTTCAACAGGGTTGCGCAATTGTACCAAATGTTTACAAATATAGAATCGGTTTAAAAGAAAACCTGTACAAGAACAAATCCAACGATGAAAGTCAGTAATATGGTTAGAATTATTATTAATTATTTGATTAGTTAATTTTTTCCATTCAGTTCGAAATTTTTCACGCCATTTGGTAGTACAACATTTGTTACGTAGTAATTGCAACCATTCAATCTGTCGTGGAATAACTTTAGAAACAATAGTATAAACAATTAGATCTAATCATGTATAATTAAAGTTTGAAAAAAAATCATGCTTTAAAACTCGCCAATAGCTCTCAATAGCCATAGTACTTCTTAATAAATTAATTTGTATGCTTGATGCATTTGCCCAAAGCCTCCACATTTCGGGTTGATACCATTCAAGCCACATGTAAACCCATACATTGCAAAGATTATTCTTGTAGCAAAATTCAAATAATTCTTTAATACATGTAATCCAAATTTGTTCTGCACTTAAAAAGCCTATACTTTCTAAAGAAATTTAGAGTGCTGTGAAAAGTGAATACGAATAAGTTGAAGGATATTCTCATGAAAATTTTTTAGGCAAAATACTTTATTTTTATTATATATTGATGTTTGAGTATTAGAGTTTTGATAAGTAGATTGCCAATTTGGATCAATAATCGAACAAATAGAGTGCGCTTCATATGCATTATAATTTTTATGTACAATTCCAGTACTTGAAAGTTTTTTTTAACAGCTCTCAAAACATGCCAATAACATAACTGGACTTTTGTATCCTTCCAAACGGTATTAATAGCCATAATTTGCCCACGATCCTTATCAGATAAAAAAGTTTTAACTTTTTGAATACCATTGTTTTTTAAACAAGAAAACCATTTTGTTAATGCCTGTGTTTTGCCTTGAGGAGATTTTGGTTCTAAAAAAAAATATAATAGTGGAAAACCGGCACTATCAATAACTCCAAGAATTCCATATAATTCAAATTTTAATCTATTTGTGCCATATGTCGCATCTACAACAATAGTATCCATAGCATGGTCAGGTAATATAAATATTAAAGGTGTCAAAAATGCTAATGAATGTTCATCAC